GCATCGGCAGGCGGACTCTTAACCACTGCGCCACCAGGGAAGCCCCTTTACACTTCTTATTTCTTCTACTTTCCTATAGCATTTGCTAGAATCTTTAGCTTTATGTTAAACAGTAACAGTGAAAATAGGAATTCTTGTCTTGGTCCAGTATTTGATGGAAAAGGGTTTAAAGTTTCTCCTTTAAGTATGATGTTTACCAAAGATTGTGGCAAAAGATCTTCACACAAAGTTCCCTGCTATACCTAATTTGCTAATAAGTTTTTCTCATAGCTGTAGAACTTTATCAAATGTTTCTTCTGCATTTATCATATGATTAATCATATGCGTTTTCTCATCTAGCCTATAGACACGGTAAATTTCATTTATTGAAACATTCTTGCATTCCTGGAAAGCAAATATTTTATCTCCCTCTAGAGAGGCTAAGTAACGTTTCCAAGGTATGCTTCTTCATAAGTCAGTCCCCATTCACACGCCTCACCCCAGGCAACCACTAATCCGTTTTCCGTCACCATATATTGGAAATCTCTTTCCTAGTTAACCATATAAATGGAATCATACGGTAGTGCTCTTTTAAGCCTGGCTTCTTTTCACTCAGCATATTTTTGGGATTCATCATGTTGTATATATTTGTGGTTCGTTCTTTCTAATTGCTGAGTAGTGTATGGATATACCACAATTTGTTTATCCATTTAGCTGCTGATGGACATTTGAGTTGTCAGTCTTGTTATCATGAATAAAGCTACTACGAACATTTGTTTACAAGGCTTTGTATGGATATATATTTTCATTTTCCTAGATGCACCTAGGAGTGCAATTGCCGGATCATATGCTAAGTATATGGTTAACTTTTTAAGAGGCTGTCCAAGTATTTTACAAAGTGGTTCTATCACTTTACGTTCCCACAAGTGATGTTGCTCCAATCACACTGATATCATCAGTTTTTAAAAACTCTAGCCATTCCAGTGACTACTAGTGGTATCTTACTCTAGGCTTTTGCCCTCAAGACATCTGCCAAATCCTAAACTGCAGAGCTTAGGGAAA